CCCTCCGCCGTCCGCCTGCCTTTGGTCACAAGGACAGATGAGTACAGCTCGGGCATATCTTGGAGGTGCGGGGGTTTCTGGCCAGAGTCCGGGGAGTGTAGCATTCTGGGGGACAGCGGTCCATTTCCCTCAGAATCCCAGGTGCTGCAAGCTACTGACCTAGCAAATCCAAGCCCCACACAGATCCTCTGCAGGTTCAGTGTGCTCTACAGTGTTTGCCCAGGTAACAGCGTGGAAGATGCTGGTCTGTGTTGCAGTCGGTGAGGAGGGACTGTGGAGCTGAAGGAAACATTGGGTGCACACGTATGGGGCTGCATTATTCCACACGTACACCACCGTCATTCAGGACAGTTTCAACCTCACCTGCACTAAAGTGGTCACATTTCACAGCCAAATAGACTATGCATACTTTAAGTCTCTTCAGGAGAATCACATATAAATAAGCCAAATCCTAACACACACACACACACACACACACACACACACACACACACACTGTCTTTATGGAAAATGACTGCTAATCCATGATCATTTTTCCCCCCAGAAACAGGTTTTATGATAATATAGTAAAAATATTAAATTAGAAAATGCCTTACTAAGGGTTATAAAACCTTACTACACTAGAGATAGGTAATTATCCCCTCTACAGCCTAAATGACAGTTTAAAAGAAATAAAAATGTTAGTGCTCATTACTTGCTTTTGTAGGTTGCAATAAAGGGTAAGTTAAATTTTAATTCAAGAAAGAGCCCCTGCTATCGACCTTCTACCTCAGGTCCAAGTCCTGTTAATTACTCTGTAGGTTATTCTCCTGCATGAGACCAACATTAATACATTTTCTACAGTGGACATTCCCACTGGCCATTGAGGCCAAGAGTGTGGGGGAAGGGGTTACAAAGGGGGAAGGCATTTCAGCTCAGTGATTCAACTCTTGATTCTTAATGTGGGAGAGAGCAGGAATTATGTTTTGTTTTTTGTTTTTTAAAAAAAACAAGTTCATCATGCATAGCTTTAAGAGAACCTCCAGTATTAAAGTACAGCTGCCCAGAGAATCAGGTGAAGACGAGGTTAACCTGAGGATTGATAGCTGAGCTTGTGGCTAAATCCTGGTCAGTGGGGATGCTGCAGGCACATGTCCTTGCAGCAGAAGGCAGCCTGGCCCTCGGTCCCATGGTGACTTTTTGGTACCTACTTTTATTTTTAGCTTTGTTTTCCTTCGGATGGGGCAGGGGGTGTGGACACATCCTGTTTCTTTTCAGATGCTTCTACCTTTCCCTACGCAGTGGCACCAGACGAGCACCTGTCTGGGTTTGGGGCAGAGCTCAGTGCACCCACATGTCAGTCTTCATCCTGGGGTGTGCAGAGACTTCCCCAGGGAAAGTACACACAGAGTGTCCAGCGATCCAAATGTGCACTCGTCCCTGAAGCACATCTGTCTGTGAGTGCGCCTTTGCACGGGCCTGGCCCAGCTGTCCTCTGCCCACCTGGCACCAGCCCACCTCGAGTCCCTCCTTGGTCTGACCTGGGAGGTTGCCCTGCAATGTGCACCACACAAAAGGGACAGCTCATACTATAGGTGCAGGGATTGAGAATGGCAGTGACTAAGGGCTAGGTAACAAGTCCCTGCAGGGCCTTTATTTTTAACAAAACTGCAGGAGAAGTTGATTGAGTTGTCAGCTGGTAGACCATTAAAACAGACTTTTGGTGGCAGATCACTATATGATTGGGGGGGGGGGCATATAATTCAGAAAGAATTAAAAGAAATGAGTGATGTTGCTCTAACAAAATTCTCCCATTCCCGCCTACTTGTTAATGTGACAGGGTCTCTCAGTACTTACATCTACAAAACTACAAACAGGAACAGGGTCGATGCTGAACCCTCTCCTTCCAGCAACAGATAAATCTCAGTCATGGAGACATGAACGGAGGGGAAGCCTCTTCTGTGTCATCAAGAGATGCATTTCTAGTAATGTTTTACTTATTTATGTACATTAAGTTTCTACCAAAAGTATAATACACTTTGTTATATTGTTATTGTATATATGAATGTGTCCTAATAGTAATAACACAATCCAAAAATAATTTTTTAAAATTAATTAGACCCTTACAGTCGCAAGAAATTAAAATATTTTTATTTCAACTTTTTAAATTTCAAAAAATATTTCAATTTACATATTTATTTTTGTGGCCAAGAAATATGATAGGGTGATCAATAAAAGACTTTCAAGCATAAAACAATTAGGACCAAAATCTCTAGGGAAAAGTCAAATGGAAATACACATTTAAAAAGAAAAATGCTGTAACATTTCCAAATTAAAGAGTTTGTTTATGTGTTATTTAAATGAGTGGTGATGGGTAGCAAGTCAGTGTGACATAGAGAGTCCATTGGGTGTATTACAAAAGGGATGTGATTTTTATTTTAAAAATTAGTGTTCACAATATTCTGATAATTGTATCCTTTGTGATTATTAAATTTATAGAAAACATTTATATGTAAACTTGAAAATGTATGAGGGTTTTGTCAAATTCTGTTGGGGTGTAGAAAAGCTGTTGGACCAGGGCCTGAGGCCCCACCGGTACTGGTCGGGGTCCGAAGGTGGGAGGGAGGCCCAGCCACGTGTAGCCTGTGCAAGGTCCAGGGGAAAGGAGGGGCTGGATCTTCATCCTGGTGGTGCTCCTGGACCTGGGGAGGGAGCCAGGGCTGGGGAGGGAAATGCAGAGGAGACCAGGGGGAGGGAGCAGAGAGGTCGGGTAGGAGCTGTCACATATTCCTGGTCAGAGATGGTAAGGCCTTGAGGAGCAGGGAGCTTGAGATGCTTTGAAGGCACAAACGGTCCCTGATTGGTGGGTGAGGGAGACATGGAATTGTAATTCCTTGGGGAGTTTTAGATTGGAATAACCCCTTGCTCATATTCTCCCTCTCTCTGTAAAAAGATTTTAAGAATCCAGAGCACTCCACTTTCCAAGTTGCTTTGCCATGAACAGCCTCGTCTGTTTGTCAGCTTTGCCCACCTGAGTGTGAACCGATGTTTGATCAAAACATGTGTTTCAGCATTGCATTCTCTGCCTGCCTCTCGAACCCTGCTGGGATGGTAACTGCTGCCCCAGCCCAGGTGCTTCTCTGTTGCCGTGGCGCTGAGTGGAAGCATTTGCTGGTGGTAATGATGGGTCGGATGTGGCAGGCTCGGGGAGGTGGGGAGGGTACTATTGCGAAGGCTGAATAGCATGTGCCTCTGCATTTCCCTCTCGTCCGATGCTGCAACCTTAAACTCACACTTTCCTATTTGTCATGGAGGCTCTCCCCTCCGTGCCACTTGATTTTTTGTGAAATGGCAAGAGAGACATGTACTTACTGGCAGACAGGCAGGCCATCGCGTGATGAGGGCAGCCTGGTCAGGGTCTTGCTGTCGTTTCTGCAATGGAGCTGATGATTTGGAAGCAACTGGAAGTGAGGCTGCTGCCTCAAATTTGCATTTAGCATGAAGCTGCCTTCCACTTCCTAGGCTGGTGTCCGGCTGGCCAGGGGAGGCAGAAACAAAAGAGATGATGGAGCTCAGAGTGAACCTGCCTCCTTTGTCTGGAGGCCTGGGCTGGTCCAGTGTTCAGGGTGAGGGTAGCAGCAAGTTCTTGCCCCGATTTCCTGCACCGGGATTGGAGAGCGACTGTTCTCTGGCCCGACTTTCCAGGTCTGCCCTTGTAGTGCTCAGAACCATAAGGTTAGTTGACATTCTCGGCTTCTGTGGTTTCTTTTTAAAGATTTTTTTCTTTTTAAAAAGCTTTAATATGCTATTTTTATTGCTGGATTTTCTAATTATAGACCTCTATTCCTACCACAACTATAGTGGGATAACTTAAAAAAACGGACAAATACGTTTTTATGTTAAAATCTTGCTGAACCAAGAAAGCTGTTTGAAGGGTGGTGGTTGGGGGGGGGGGGTTGCTTTATTTTGAAGGTCAGATTTGCTGATGATGATGACTCTCAGATAATAAAAGCACTTTTAAAAGCCTGTTTTCTTAACAAGAAGAACAGGCTACATTTGGGGTTAGATCTTGAAAGTATAGAACAGAGCAGGCACAGCTTTCTTCTGGGGCTGTTTACTCCCTGGCCGGGAGCCTTAGCCCGTGCCAACCTATCCCCCTTCCCTGAGGGTTAGTGGCCATGTATCCCCTGCCTCCATTGGCCATGTCCTCCTCAGGCCACCTCCGGAGTGGATCTGACCTGTGTGGACCTTCGTGGTTCCTCTCTCTCTGCCCACAGGGGAAAGTGTTCTGTAGTTTCTGCCATAAAGATAGGAGAGGTCCTTGTCTTTTTGAGACTTTCCAGGCCTTGACACATGACAAGCTGAATAGTTGTGTGTATGTTGTATTTGAAACAGAGGTTAGACATCGTTTACTTTATTTCCAGAGACTCAAGACCTTGGCGTGTTGTGGCTCTCATAACGTCAAATCCCAATTTTAGAAATAATAAATTAGGCAATCGAATTATTTATTAGATTGAGAACAGGGGAGCGGGAAGCACCTTGGTCCTACTGAATGGCTGCACATGTGACAGTAATTGGAATCTAGTTGCTGGGTCATTTTCATTGTTTTTCAAGTACTGCCAAGTCCAAGAAAATGTATGAAAACTAAATTATATCCCTACATCCCATGTCTGATTGAATCCTCCTCATCGTGTGGCAGTCTCATACATCCTATTAAAATATTCAATCTTGTTTTCTTACTTGAAGAGCCTGTCTGTAAAGGGCAAACTTACAGAAAACTCATTCCCTGGAGATGGGGGATGCAGCCACACTGGACCGTTTACATATCTCACTATTCGATTGGCTTCTAGTTTCTCCCTCTCTTTGTATTTGTGAATAAGAGCTGTGGGATGCATTTTTAATTACATGGCTGTGGTTTCACTTGAACAAACGGATTGGGGTATTTCCCAGCTCCTTAGTTCTTTTTTTAACCTTGGAAAGTTAACCAATGTGTTAACCAATTTGTTTTGTTTGTCTTCTAGGACAGAGTTATATCGATCTCTTTTTGGCCAACTCAACCCTCCAGAAGAAGGCCACGGGGATTGACAGCACCCATCTCTCTTGCTGCAAGGCCTTGAGGGTGGCCTCCAGCCCGGCAGCGCCTTGGCCAGGTCGGCTGCTCATCCAGCCCCAAGTGGAGGAACCCACTGGCCTATGGGGTTGAGTGAGTCAGGGACTTCCTGGGAAGGTGTGCTGTTCAGAACACACGCCTAACCAAGTCCCAGGACGCCTGGAATCACCTGTCTCTGTCTCTGGCACTTCCATGTGCAAAGCACCCTTCCCCCGTGTCCTTGAGCCGCCACAAATAAAGAGCGTTGTTACTGGCCATGTGGTTTCTTGAGCAGCACGAAGTGAGGTCTGATTTAGAGCTCTAGCAAGTCATGTGCCTCTTACCACATAGAGCTTCACAGGAGGAATCATTTGGGGGGATGCTCCTTTCTGGGTGGACAATGTTTAGCAGTTGATTGTGGCTCTGGGGAGCAGGGAACCTCTAAGTTATGCCCTGGAGACTTTGTCACTTGGGAGTATTTGCCTATTTGTTGCTGAATACAAATCTCTGACTTGTTCTTTCTTTTCCACCCATAAAGATTCTTCCAGCGTCCTTTTCCATTCTCACCATTCCTAAATCACTTTATTGAGATCTGCTCTTGCGTAAATCTAGCAGGAGGAAATGATTCACTTGTTTTTCATCCAGAGGTCACAAGCTGGAAATTAAATCCCCATAAGGGGGATTTATTGGCCTGCTGTGGTCAATATGCAATGAAGATTATCTTGCATAAGTAATGTGTGCCGACCAGCGGACAACACTGACCATCTCCGTGCCTTGCCCAAATCTTTATTTAAAGCTACGGAATTAGAGGAGAAATGTTGCATCCAGGCAACTGAGTGCAGCTGTCGTCAATAACTAGTCATTGTTTTTAAAGTCGGATTTTCATGTGGTTTTAAAATGTCAAAACCAAGTGACAGATTTCTGTGTCCCTGAATCCCACGTATCATGGGCTTAGCGTCTGGGGACTGCGTGCCCAAAGGCTGGCCCCAGTGCAGTTGGTCCTGAGTGTAATTCACTTCCATTTCGTGAGCATCAGTGTCTGCTGAGCTCAGGATGGGGCACGTGGCGGGAGGAGGGTTTTTCCATCTCACATTAATTGGACCCTGGAATGTGGTGATTTGTTTTTCTTGTCTCAGTAGTTACCTCTTGGGCTTGACTATCAGGGAAATGTTTAATTTTCAATGTGTCTCCAGTTACCCAGGAGATCAATCAGCAGAAATAGGAGAGTTTCCCTACAACTACTCTCTTCAAAATGATCACTTAAAAAAATATAGGACATGCAAGCTTGTCTGTCTAGCCTGAGGATTCACGTGGGAACAGCCAGGAAGTGGCTCCTCATATTGGACTTCAGTGAGCTTCATGCTATAACCCATATTTCCTAAAAAGATAGAACCTTCGTCATCATCGCTCTTTATTTGGTGAAGAAAAAGATTTAAACAGGTACTTCAAAATATTTGGAGTCCAACCTGTTTAATTAAAATGAATTAAAATCAGGAGAAATGAGAAAGAACGGACAGCATTTTCAGTAAAGGGAGGCTTGCATTTTAAAATTCAGAAGACCACCCTCCTTCCAGCCAAGAATAAATTGGAAACTATTTTAATTGACACGGATACTGCAATTCAACTGTTACTAGAAAGACAGATTAGTTGATCGATTTGCATTTTAATAAAACTAATACTTTACATTTTGGTAGCTAATGCTGATTTTTAAATGAGTTGAGAATTGTTATCAGGAGTTTCAATCCAGAGCCCTTTCTCGGTGTTGACTGAAGCATTCCTCCCTTTTGTGTGGAGTTTGCTTATTTTCTTTTTGCCCAGCACGACACTCAGAAACCACAGACCTTGAAGTCCTCCCAGTACAGGGAGGTGGCAAGCCGGCGAGCTGGCCACAGTGGACATAGGGAGTGCCCACCCAGCCTACGTTCGCACTCGAGACCGGCCTCTCCCTTCAGGATAGAGAAGAGAAGGCTGGTTGCTTGTCCTCATTTATTTTATGTTAAAAATTAGTTACAGAAGCCTGACCAGTGTGGCTCAGTGGTTGACTGTGCACCAATGAACCAGGAGGTTCTGGTTTAAGTCCCACCCAGTCAGGGCACATACCTGGGTTGTGGGCTCAATCCCCAGTGTGAGCCGTGCAGTTGGCAGCCGATCAATGATTATCTCTCATCATTGATCTTTCTCTTTCTCCCTCTCGCTCTCCTCTGAAATCAATAAAAATATATTTAAAAAAATAATTATAGAGAAGTAGAAGGAACAAGTAGAAATAAGACTGGGCTATAATCTGCCACCCAGACACACCCACTTCTCGTTACTGACACTTAGTGCTTCACAGCCTCTTCCCTGTGCAGGTGCCATCGCACCAGGGAACCCGTCTCCCCGAGCAGAGGGGGTGGGGGACTTGGTTTTTACTTTTGGACAGTTCAAAATGTTGTACTTACCCTTTAAAAACAATAAAAGCAAAACACCCACACAGCCATGCACCATCTCCCCCTCCACCTAATACACACACAGCACCAACTGAGAACCAGTGGTATACAGTATATTCTGCATTTTAATATTAAGAGTACAGTAAAAGATTACTTTCATGTTTTTGCAGATATCACAAGTATTTTCATTGCTAACTAGTAATTCCATTTGGGGCATGTATCTTCAGTGCTTAACCAAATCCCCTGCTGTTGAGCATGTAAATTGTTCATTATTTGCTATTATGAATAATGTTACAGTTAAATATTTGAGCAAAAAGCTTGTTTATTGTCTTTTAAAATTATTTTTCTTGGCATATATTTTTAGAAGTAAAGGGAAACAAGTGAAAGAATCTGAGTATTTTGAAGGCTCTTGGAACACATCACGGGGGCTTGTTCACGTCTCACTTGCTTTAGGCGGGGCTCAGAGGCAGAGTGGAGATTGGCCCCGGAGTCTGATCCTGGGGTTTATTTCTTGCTCCCCAGGGAACCCTTCAAATCAGCAGCATCCTCTGGGAGGATTAAAGAGCTACTGCCTGTAATGTGCTTTGGATGCTCCCATGAAAGATGGATAAATAGAAAGCGACACCATATCTCCGCACCTCCGCCCCCCCCCCCCCCCCACGTCTTTTTTTCCGGCTGCTAGATCCACTTTCTTCTCTGGCTTTCATGCTCCTGGGGAATCTTTCAGGAGGGTGTCCTTGCCTTGTGTGGGTGTGCCTTCCTGCAGCTGCTCTCTACTGTTTTGGGTGTGTAGCCATTCTCTCCAGAGTCACATCCAAGACCGCTTATTGCGCATCGTAGGGAAACCCTGGAAGCCAGCAGGGCACCAGGACAGGCCACCGCCAGCCCATCCAGCAACAGACTCTGCATCCGTCTCCAGTTGAGAAAAGTAGGTTCTTCATGGACGTTGAGTTTCCTGGTCTCCACGTGCATTGCTAAGACCTCTCCGAGATGACTGCCTCTTCACCGCTTCATCCCAAAGGAGCTGAGTCCGAGGGCTCGGAATGAATCCAAATGTGACATTCGTCATAAGCCTTGGGACCATTTCCCAGGACATAGCAGTCACTCCCTATGTGGAGTGTGTTGATGCCAAGATCCTTGTCTGCCTGGGCTAGATTCACAAACAAGGCAGCCACATGTCTCAGCAAAACTACAGACCGTAGAGGCAGTGTGTCCTGGAGGAGCCCGAGGCTGCCCTGCTGCTGACACCCTGACGGTCCCACCCTGTGCACTTGCATTTAACAAAGACAAGTACAAGCAGTGAGCTTTGTCTAAAGCGAATGAACCCTATTTTCTGCACTTGAATTTGTTTTTACTTTTTAAATGTATGTATGTGTCTGTGTATTGGGGGCAACTGTGCTGAATAAATTAAGCTTGCCTTAGTCATTCTTTTTTTAAATGTTATCTACCTTATTTTCTTTCCATCTTTTTTTTACTTTCTCTGTCTTCATAACACTTCAAAGGTAATTGCCAGTAATTTGGTAAGTTCATTAACTAATTCTCTCTTAAGTCCAGGGGATCCATACCGCCCAGCTGCTGTGCATGCATCCATTCCTCCCACCACTCGTGATGAGTCATCGCCTGCCCTCGTCTGCAGAGGAGAGGGATGGCAAAGCTGCAGTGAGTCTGCCTGATCTAACTTTTGTTTTTCTTGTTTATCTATAGGTTTCCTTTACCCTGTCTTTCTTGCCCATGGTTGGGGTCTGCCAATAGGGTCATTGCCCCGGCAGCATTTATATTCCTGAGAGGTTTGTTTGGTTTATTTCCCCTGGATGAGGGTTCTCAGTTCATTTGTTGAGGTCAAGGACACTGAATTCTCAGAAAAGAAACTTTAAAAGAACATTAAAAAAAAAAAAAAGCAATCCCACATCACTGATAGGGTAGAAAAGAATATAAGGTTCCCAATAGACAATGACAGTAACACATAAAGATTCCTGCCGGCCCTCCTCCCACCCCATCTTCCCCTTTATGACTCAATTGGAAATGAGCTCAGTCTGCTCTGGGCCGGCAGGCTGCCCATCAAGTCACATGGGGCTGGCTGCTTCCTCCTCTCTAGTCTGCCCTCCCCAGGGTAGGTGGGGGCTGTATTTATTTCGGGGCCATGTTACCCAATTCCAATAGAAACTTGGGGGCACATAGCTGGTTTTGGAACGGGCATATGTGATGTTTTGAACCCAGGACAGATATGAATGAAAGATGCAGTGGGGAGAAATCTGGACTAGAAATAAAAATTGCTAGGATGTGTCCTTGAGGAAGTCTTTTGACCTTTGGCCTCAGGGTCCTCACCGTAGTATGAGGCCCTATTAAGTTGGCTTCTGAGGACCTTCCTAATCTAAAGCTGCTGCTTCTAAGTAAAGGCAGCATGGTAGATTTGGGTTTAGCACAGGGACCAGCATGTTTTTTCACATCCATTTATTCAGATATTGATAGATCTACTGTGTGCCAAGCCCTGGTGGAGGCTTAGCAAAGGGACTATATTGGCAGGTCACACAGACGGGGGAGGGGGGGGTCTCTGCTCTCTTCTGTAGAGTTCTGCATTCTCTAGTTTGGGTCTGATTGCACCCACTAGAGGTGCCTCTCTATTAATCCTGTTTGTCTTCCTGGAAGCCCAGGCTCTGAACCCTTTCTGGGCTTGGGATCAAGTTCCCAAGGTTTGGTTCCCCAAGGTGAGTGGTCAGCCTGGCCAGGGGCTCCTGGGCACTTCTTCCTGGGCTCCAAAGTTGGCCTCTGCGTGCCCAGCCTCCGGGACTGCCAGGTGCATCCATATGCAGGTGTGGCTGACACACAGCGGGAAGCAGTCAGCCTGCTGCT